ATGTAAAACTAGCAAAAGTGCTAAATCCCTTTAATTCAAACTCTGCTTAATGAGAGTAGCAAAAGTTCAAATTTACAATGAAGAGTCACCAGTCTAGCTGACAGAAAACTAGATTTATGAGAGAGACCAACTGGACTGCAAGCCCAGTTTCTGTAATTACTTTTCTCCTGAGAAAAATTTTCCTTACAAGCTGCCCACCCTTAGAAATTGCTGAGCTCACTGCAAGGAGCTTAGAAGGCAGCAGCAAGAAGGATATCTTCTTTCCCAAGATACTTGGAAGGAAAACACTAAACTACTTGAGTGGGTTCAAGAGGTGGGTCCCCTGAAAGTATTTTCTCACACGAGAGGTAAATTTTCCTTTGGCTATGGCAGCAGCAGAATTACAACCATAAATAACATTGTGAAAATGCTATTCTGAGTTTTAACTGGTATCTGTGTGCATGTTTGTATGTACATGCAAGTATATAGACCCTGCTTTCTCATTACGTGCATGTATTATGCAGACATTAATTACATTTTATAATTAAATTATATATTTCATGTGTGTTTCTTTATATAATGTAGTACTCCATATTACTAAGCAGAATTTTAACAAAAAATTATCCTTCAAAATGCAGTTTACTTATATATTTTCATTTTTATTTGCACTGTAGTAGACCTGTAAAGATTTCCTGTAGACACGCAGTGATCATATCAAAAAACACTGCTTCAGGCTGGCTACATCAGCCAATTATACTGTTTTATTACTTCCTTTTTCTGTGAGATTGGGCACTGAAAACAAATCAATTAATTATAGTCCTGCATTTTTGCAATAAAGAGCCTTTCAGGATCACGATGAGATATGCCTTCTATGCTGAAATGTTATTTTAAATTACCCTTTTCAGTTCACTTGTCACTTCCAATGTGTGATGCATGGGGCACAGCTCCATTTGTTTGCTGTTCCTACCAGCGTTTGAAAACTCTGAAGAAAAGACAGCCCACATTTTTAAAAAACACTTTCTAGAAATCTGTCACAGAGGAGAAATGCATTGGGTGGAAGGCGTTCAGTGGGTGCATATGAGAGGCAGCCAGAAGAGTAAAAAATGGAGTATTAAAGCACAAGAAGTGACACAAAGTGAGGAAACACAGCAACAAAGCTAAAGTCAAGAGAAGGATGCCTTCAGGCTGGAGAGGGCTCTTGCAGGCACAGCCAAGGTAGGCTGGGATGAACAAAACAAACCCAAGTGCTGCTGCACAAGACAGGGCCAATATGTGCCACTGGAACTTCAGGGAAGATTCTCACACTCCCACAAACAGGGAAGCCAGAGCACTTATAGGAAAAGTGCACAGAACCAGTGGGGGTGTTACTGCTGCTATTTGTGCTTCAGGAGGAAAAGGTCCTTCAAGCTCATGACCAAATCTTTTCTGCCCTTTCTGCAGTAAATTCAGACACACTAAAACCAATCTAATGTTATGGCAGATATTACAATGGGATATACTCAATATTTGATTTCACCATGATCAAAAAGAGTATCAAAGTTACAATCAGTTACTGCTTTTGTTTGTATAAACAGGATCACTATCAAAGAGCAAAAAGTAAACTTGTTTAATAAAAACAAGTGATGAGGCTGTCCCTGGTTGTCTAGAAAATGCAGCAAATTCCTTTTCAAAGTAGCCACCAGGTCAGCCAATAGACATCATAGTCTGAATTATTCTGCACAGCCATAAAAAAATTGTGCTGAGAACAATTATGTGACAAGTCCTTTGTAGAGATTCCATGGTAGTAGATGGAGAAACAATAGGGTTTTTCATCATTATTTCCCATAGCTCCTGGAAAAGGCTGCAGTCATTCAGCCTGCAAATACCACAAGTACATGCAATTGTGTGAGACACATGCATATATAAATATTTGGGTACAACATAGACAACAGTGACTGAAAGTTAAACCTGCCTCTTCTTGGACCTGAACTTTCAATGACATCCAAAAGAAAACCTGAATATTGTATTCTATGGAATTTCTCACCTGAAATTGGGAAGAGGCCGACTTACAAAATTTTGAATTCAAAGTTTACTACTGGAATGAGAACTACTACCTAGGTAAAAACATAACTAATGGCCCACAAAAAACAAGACTAATAGAATCAGAGTTCCCCAGGATTCTCTGAACAAAATTTCATATACTAAATTTGCTGGAAATTTATTTTAGAGCAACAACAATAATTTCATATTCAGTGACAAAGATTGTCTAATACTTGTATCAGTCAACACTGCAGGTAATGAACTTTGGCTTCCATCTGTTCTGCTCATCTTTAGAGGCTCTCATCCATGTATGACCATAGTTTTTATATAAACATTCCTACATTAGCCAGATTACTGTGAAAATTCATCAAAAAAAGTTACCTTGGAGTGCACAGGTGATAACAAAGCCTCTCCTAGTGAGAGAAAAATACCTCAGAAATCCAGTCTGTTCATCTAAACACCATATTGTACCACCCTTGAGTATATCTGTGCTAAAAAATTGACTGCTCCCTTAAGAAAAGCCAACCCAAACAAAAAAAAAAAACCTCCAATCTGATATTTCTGTGTATTAAACTCTTTGGTGAAACCCAGTATACATAGAAGCAGGGCAGGCATTCTGAACACACAAAAACAACAGTGTGATTAAAGGGTTCTGTCAATTGAAAACCTCCAGGAATTTCTTCATTTTAGCCTGAAAGTGCCCATTGCTGCTCTGCTTGCAAACAGCAGAATGAGCATAATACATGTCATAAATTAAACATCAGAGAGATTCCTAATGTTCCATGAAGGCATTTATTCACACTGAAAAGTAACATTTAGGTATTATATTTTATGCTAGTGATGGAGTATTACTCATTCATCAGTTCTTTCCAGAGATCTTGCTATGAATATTCAGCTCTTGATGACAATAATGAGAATCCAAGGTGCTCTGCAATACTTGGACTCTGGTATGGCACCATTGTCATACAGAGGAACCAGAGTGAACAAGGCTGTAGTACCACACATGCCACTCAAAACTTGTGGGATGGGATAGATCAAGCTAAACCTGCATGGAGTGGAGGAGGAAAAGCGTCTTTGGAAACAGAAATGTCAACCAATTTCGAACTTTGAGATCTGTCAGAAGGGACATGACTGCATATTTCTTTCTTGGACTCAAATTTCAGATGGCAGAAGAAGATGAAGGAAAAGAAACAAAATTTTCAGAATCTTCCAGAATGCAAATAATGCTGAAGAAAACCTAGTTCTGTGAGGACAAAAGCTGCTTAAAGGGTCTGCCATGACTTCTGTGAGGCTGGCAAAATACTTGGATGCAATTCAATTACCATTGTTATCATTGCTACTTCAAGTCTGTCAGGTTCTCTTGCTTCTCAGCAAATGAGGAAAAGGGCTGTTATATGGATGTAAAACAGACTCCATTCCTAATCATCCTAGAGATGGTGCTGGGGTCAGCTATTCTGAACAGCACCATGTACTGTGTGACTCAATTCACACTTGCAGGAATAGTCATTAAACAAATTAAAAAACATTAAACCCTTTCCTACTACCCTGTCTGTGAAACAAACTTCATCTAATCTTGGTGATTCTGGTTGGGCAGATTTAGGGAGAAAGAGTGCTAAGAGACATATTAACAAATTATAAAAATACTTTTAAATGTTGCATTTTTTAAGGGCTCCTGTCTTTCACCTCAGCACATATCAGACCAAGTTTGTGCCTCTTTTGATACCAAATTAAAATTTGAAATACTTTCTGATAAGAGAATTTAAATCTCAAAGTTAAATAGTTTCTGTGTGTAGGCTTTGCTCCAGTAAAATTGTGGAAAACTTTTTTTGCTAAGGACAGTTACTTAATGCTTGCATATGTCACGTTGGTCTGTGTAGAGCTGATATCATGGTTGCTGAAGAAGACAGGATATGGAAGTAATGAAAAAGGTCATGTGCACAATAACTACCAAAAGCATAAATAAATCCACAGCTTTGCTCAGCACTCGTTCAACTTCACAATCACAGACATATGTGCCACCATGATTTACACATTCATTCACATCTTTGTTATCACTGACAATTTTTTTTAGTCAGATTTTCTTAAAGGGGGTCATAGCATGAATGTAGCTAACAAGTATTTCTGGCCACAGCACCAAGCAAAGGGATGCACTGGGAGGACAACATGCTGCATCAAATGTCAAACTGATATGTAACACAGCAGTGGGAGACACCAGCACTGATCAAACCATTTGTCCTTATGGGTTCCTTCCTACAGTTCACACTGTGAAGCACAGTCATCCTGATCTCTCTAGGAGAGAGTACAGCTGGTCCTACTGCTGCACAGAATGTACTTACAGCATGGAATAAAGGAGGGAGATCATCCCTACAGCGTTAGCTCATCTTTAGCAGTGCAGAGTAAGGAAGCAATATCTTTACTAAAACTATTTGTTAATTCTCTTCTGAATGCTGCTCTGGCTGAAATGTAACTGGGCGGAACGGGAAGAGAAAATGTAGACTCAGACACAAACAGAAGCTTTGGGCAATACATTATATCATCCTGGCTAAAATTTTTACTGTTGGATGGTATTTCCTTGCTGTGAAGTTTCAGGGCCATGAAGTATTCTTTTTATTAATTTCTGTTCTTCACTCCTTTGTTGAGGAGAGCCCTTTCCAGAGCTGTGGTTTGCACCATGCTAATGATATGGTCAGTGGTCCTTGGCTGGTGGGTAGATAACATTGGCCAATGTTCTAACTGACAGCAATCTCTTTCCCCCTTCACTCTGAATAAATCCAACTCATTCTCCATGGAAATGGTGCAGTTCTATGACAAATGTCAAAGGCAAAACTATACAGAACAGTTGGATAGTTGGTCCAACATTTAGACATGAGATGTCTAGGGTAGCTGTGTTGGCATTGTTGGCACACAAATAGGGAAACATACAGGTAATTCTTAAATGCAACAGGATAATCTTAAGGCTGGTTCATCAACCCCCTTTTTTCCCAAAGAATTACAGCATTTACCTTCAGTCCTGTCTGGTAGTTTCCCACTTTTGCTTGTTGTTCCAGTGTTGACTGTTTCAGACGAGGTGCTCAGTTTGGTGTTGGGGTCTCGCTTCGGTTTTGGAGGCGGCTGCTTTCGAGAGCTGCTGCTTTCATCATCAGTTCCTCCAACTGAATGAAGAGACTGAGATCTGACAGTGAAGCCACTGGAGCAGGGGTGTGGCAGTCTGTCCTGAGGAGCAGGCATTGTCATAAATCCCATGCGGAAATGTTTCCCCACGTAGCTGCCTTCATTTCCTCTTGCTACTTCTCCACCTATGCTGTAACAGAAAATACAAATGTAAGTAAAAGGTCCTCCTTTGCCTGAACCATATCTGGAACCAGGGTCTCAGCTCTGCCTGTGACAAGCAGATCATGTTTCTAAATTTTAAAACAAGCAATGCTCTTCTCTGAAAAGATGACTACTAAAAAGTCTATTTTTCAACACATGCTGCCAACAACTGAGACATAGATACACTGCTACACACTCAGAATTTTACAAAAAGAAATTTAAAAAACAAAAGCTTTTGTCAGGTTTCCTATTATTGTAACTAGAAATTTTCTACAGAAGAAATTTCAAACATTGAAAGTCAGAACTGAGTTTTCAGGAAAACAGGAGACTGTGAGTAGGCCAAAGAATAACACTTTAGAATTACAACAGGATGTATTGATCCACACTTCCTGACACTCATCTTTGACTACAGATGCTCGTGTAGCTTGGGAAACAAGGCTTCATAGCATCTAATCAATCTTTTCCCTTGAGACTAAAGAATGGTAGAGAAGAAATGTTCTAAAAATTACTTGGCTATAGGAAACTCAGCATCACATCAAATCCACATAAATCTGCAACACAAGCAGCTTCAGACTAGTAAATTAGAAGTGTAGGAGATGAAAAGACCATGGACACCAGGTGGGACATCAGGAAGAAAATAACCTCCAGCCTTTTAGAAACAGAGGTAAAGAAGAAGGAAAGTTCAGCTGAAACAAGTGCTACCATACACTGCATTTTTCTGTGGGTGTAATGACTGAGAACTTGATATTATTCCTGTTCCACTCATGCTTATCAGTTCTGAAAAACAGCTCTTACTGGTGTTTATACTGCAAACCAACAGCACATTTCAATTCAGGCAAGTCAGTGACTACGCAAAGAAACTCAGCAGCACACACAGGTCAATGTGGGCCTGTTTGCAAGGAGGTTTGAAATGGTACCACTGTGGGCACACAGAAATGTCAGCACAAGAACTGTGAAACATCAGAAAGCTCTAATTAGCTCCTGCTTCCTGGGTAAGTGCTTCTCTGAAAGTTTCTTACTTGATGTTGCCTTGGTCTGGTGAAGTTTATTTGGTGCTGGAACACATTTCCTTTCTTTAAAGACAAGAACATTTCTCAAAAGTGTGAAGAGTAAGCAAGGCCACCTCATTTCCACCCCATCTTCACTGTAGGTAAAACACAAGCTGTATCTAATTGTCCTAAAGACATCAGACTGGCCATGAGCTTTGTGCATGGTAAAGCAGAACTTGTTTTTGGTTTAACAAACAAAAAAGAAAAAAAAAAAAAAAAAAAAAAAACAAACACCTTTGTTTGCTTATTACTCTCCCTGCTTATTACTCTCTCTGCATTTTTATTCCATTTCTTCTCTAAGTGGAGATATCCACTTTCAAAACTGGTTAACAACAGAACAGCTCTAACTTACCATGTGCCCCTTTCCAGGGGCACTGACACCTACCCACATGTGTAAATGTGTGCACACATGCCTGCCACACATATGCACACACTGGTCCATGCTCACAGCCAAGTTGTTACTAAATCCTAATTGGCATCAATTCCAAAGGGATTTGCAGCCAGAAAGATCAAGAGGTAGAACTCATTAATTCGAATATTTCTAAAAAACCTGTAGTTAGTTTGAATGATTAACTAGATTAACTATGCCTCTACTAATCTTTCATAAATTGTCTGAAAATAATATAATCCTCTGACACTGGACTACAGAAAGAACCTGTCATATTATTTAAAGAAGATTACTATCCAAACATGATGAAGAATGCAGGTGGGGAGTCTGCTTCCTTTCTAAGTCTATTGGATAATCACATTTGGCGAAGAAAGTTTCAGTTTGCCGTGTCTCCAATGTTACAATTCTTAACAGTTTACATTATTTAATTACTGCATTTACTTCACTGCTGTATGAAGGTGTTTGAACCATCCACTAAAGCCAGGTTCTTACGGCAAGCTGGATGGACTTGCACAAATCCCTCTGAGATGATATATTTCACCCTTTTCCTAAGAATACACAGGACTGCATTTATATGAAGCATGGGGGGCGGGGG